TGTCAGTGGAGAGAATAGTGCCCCATCATTGGTGGCAGTGGGAGGAATAGTGCCCCATCATTGGTGTCAGTGGGAGGAATAGTGCCCCATCATTGGTATTAGTGGGAGGAATAGTGCCCCATCGTTGGTGTCAGTGGAAGGAATAGTGCCCCATCGTTGGTGTCAGTGGGAGGAATAGTGCCCCATCATTGGTGTCAGTGGGAGGAATAGTGCCCCGTCTTTGGTGTCAGTGGAAGGGATGGTACCTCGTATCAGTACCCTGAGGGCCAGATAAAGGCAAGCAAAGGGCCACATCTGTCCCGCGGGCCGCAGTTTGGGTCTGTGATGTCACTTCACCTTTTCTTCATGGGGGGGTCTGGATCTGGTGGGTGGAGACCTGACCTAGCAACATACACAGCTCTACAGCAACAGATCCCATGTAACAGGGATATTGATGGGTGCAGTCAGTCAGCAATAGATCCCCACCACTCCCATGTAGCACACAGTATGAGGACTTATTTCAAGGACTTACTGCTGGGTGGAGGGTACCGGATATCAGTCCCATAGGAGCTGCTGTCCCTCAGCATGCAGACCACTGATCTCCAAACCCAATCTGAGGTCTGAAGCAGGGCCACGGGCCACAGGGCCCATGACCTTCTTGTCATGCACCAGTGCTCTAGATCAGAATTTCACATCTAGGGTTCCTCCGGAGGTTTCTAAGGGTTCTTTGAGTAATAATCAATTTCTGCCTCCCCGATAACTTCCCACTGACATCATTGATCTCTTTAGCTATCAGTAATTCTTCCCACCGACCATCACACTAATGCAGGGGTCTCCAAACTCTCAAAATAAAGGGCCGTCAAACTTTCGGGGGGCCAGAATGTGGCCAGTGGGAGTAGAAAATGCCCTGATTGGCCAATCAGTGATCACATGATCGGGACCTCGCACAGAGGTCCCGTCCAATGATCGGTATTCCACTGTGTCCGGAGGACACAGCGAGCACCGGATTGCGGCGCTGCGCTCTCCCAGGGAGCGCGCACAAGCAGGGGGCAGGGAGGCCGTTTATAAACAGCAACCCGACCCTGCACTGCCACCGTCCGTCCGAAGTGGTTAAGAGATCTCCTCTCACTTTCTGTTGCGTCTTCAGACAGGAAGTGGAGGAAAGTCTACCCAAAGAGACACAAGAAATTCAAACAAAGTTGAAGAAAGGTTTTGTTTTTCTGTATACTTTAAGGCTACGTTCACACCTATGCAGTTTGCGTTTGATCCATTTCTTCAGTGCTTTTTTCGATGCATTTTGAATTTTTTCTGCACGTGCGTTTTGCGCGTTTTTTTCCAACTTGTTGCTGGGCAGATTAAAACGCAAAATGCATCAAAAACACACTACATGCATTTCTGCAGCGTCTCCATTGAAGTCTAATGATCCAAAAACACGTTTTGCGTTTAAAAAAAAGTCTCTGACCCTTTTACAGGTTGAAAACACGGCGATGTGAACGTGTCCCATAGGAAATCATGTTAAACGGACTGTAGAGCGTTTCTGCAAAATACAAAACGCACCGCAAAACGCTAAAGAATACCTGTCACCTTGCAATACATAGATATACAAAGCACAGATGTGTCCATACATATAGGACGAGTCTCCCAATTTGCCCATTTTGTTGATTGATTGCTTGATCTTCTTTGCGGCTCCGTTCACACCAATGCGTTTTTTTTTTAGTGCTTTTTGCAGAAACGCACTGCGGTCCATTTAACATGGTTTCCTATGGAACATGTTCACATTGATGCTTTTTCCAGCTGCTGTGTTTTTGGAAAGGGTCAGGGACTTTTTTAATCACTTGGAGGATTTACCCCCCTTTCTAAAGCAGGCCATTTTTGCGATACGGTGCTGCGTTACTGACAATTGTGCGGTCATGCAACACTGCACCCAAATCAAATTTATGTCCTTTTTCCCCACAAATAGACCTTTCTTTCAGTTGTATTTGATCGCCTGTGCGGGTTTTTTTAATTTTTTGCGCTATAAACAAAAAAAGACCGACAATTTTGAGAAAAAAACACTATATTTTTTACTTTTTGCTATTAAACATGTCCAGTAAAAAAATGTTAAAAATAAAATTTCATCATAAAATTTAAAAATGTATTTTGTGATGTCCTTGCTAAAAAAAATCCCAATAGGTGTAAGTTATTGGTTTATGTGAAAATTATAGCATTTACAAATGGCGGGAAATATACTGGAATTTATTTTTTTTACAAAGCGGGCATGCGGCGGGCATTCTGATACTGGGGGGAACTGACTTGATGTCACTGGCATCCCCAGTGACACCAATACGATGATCAATGCTAATAAAAAGCACTGACACTGTACTAATGGCACTGGGCACGAAGGGGTTAACATGAGAGGCGATCAAAGGGTTAACTGTGTGCTGGGAGTGTTTTACTGTGCAAGCACGCTGCTCTGTATAGCTCTGCTATGCAGAGCCATATAAAGCAGCATGCTGGTACTGACAGGGGAGAGATCTGTATTGTTTGCATACAGACCTCTCCCCTGCCAGTGTTCCTCGGCGATCGCCGGGTGCCAGCGAAGAATCTCTGGCCGGGACCTAGTGATCGACAGCTCTAGCCCCCTACCCGGAAATACAAAATCACGTACAGTTATGCAGGGAAGCAGTTTAAAAGCAAAAAATTGCATTTTTGCTACAATAGAGTTCACTGCAGAAGCTGCTGAAATGCACAGTAAAGCTTTTTTGCCACGTTTTGCAATGATGGGGCACTATACCTCCCAATGACTCCAACGATGGGGCACTATACCTCCCAATGACACCAACAATGGGGCACTATATCTCCCAATGACACCAACAATGGGGCACTATATCTCCCAATGACCAATGATGGGGCACTATACCTTCCAATGACACCAAAAATGGGGCACTATATCTCCCAATGACCAATGATGGGGCACTATACCTCCCAATGACACCAACAATGGGGCACTATATCTCCCAATGACACCAACAATGGGGCACTATACCTCCCAATGACCAATGATGGGGCACTATACCTCCCAATGACACCAAAAATGGGGCACTATACCTCCCAATGACCAATGATGGGGCACTATACCTCCCAATGACACCAACAATGGGGCACTATATCTCCCAATGACACCAACAATGGGGCACTATACCTCCCAATGACACCAAAGATGGGGCACTATACCTCCCAATGACACCAACAAACGGGATGATGACATCGTTGGATGTTTGTAATGTGTGTGTATGGTGGGTTGATCATTTGATTTGCCTTCATCCTGCAGCGATTTGATCGCTCAAAATTGCGCCCACCTATAAAATCATCCATTCGATCTATGGCTGCCATAAGGCCCCATTCCTACTAATGTAGCGTCGCACCAGGCATCATGCATTTCTGTGTATTACAATGAATGGGCTGTCCTACGGGTGGCAAAGGCGCTCACGTGCGCTTTGTGCATGGTGCAAAAAACGCACTTCCTGCTTGGCGCAACATGCTAGGTCCACCCTAGTGTAGTCCGGGAACGCACACATAATCACATGCGTTCCCAAACCCCATAGAAACGCACCGCTCTTTAGCAGATGCGCAGAGTCGCCTACAGTTGGTTCATAAATATGCGTGCGCATTTGCGTGCACGTTGCCTGCGGGGCAGTCCATGCATTTCAATGGGATGCCCTTTTCGCGAGAAACGCAGAGAAAGAAGCCCCCCGACCTTTTCTTGTTTTAAAAGACACGGCGCACCGAACCGCATGGCACTGCTAGTGTGACACGTTTTGCGGTCGTTTCCTAAAGGTGGCAAGAAGGTTTGATTTTGCGCACGTTCACGCACTACACTACAAACGACTGTACGATCAGATTGTATTGTCAGATTTATCGGTTAGTGTATTGCATTGGCTCCCCAATCAGTACTCTATGGCTCCCCAATTGGTTCTCCATGTCTCCCCAATCGGTACTCCACGGCTCCCCAATCGGTACTCCATGGCTCCCCAATTGGTTTTCCATGACTCCCCAATCAGTACTCCATGGCTACCCAATCGGCACTCCATGGCTCCCTAATTGGTACTCCATGGCTCCCCAATCGGTACTCCATGGCTCCCCAATCGGTTCTCCATGTCTCCCCAATTGGTACAACATGGTCCCCAATCGGTACTCTATGGCTCCCCAATCGGTACTCCATGGTCACCAATCGGTACTCCATGGCTCCCCAATTGGTTTTCCATGGCTCCCCAATCAGTACTCCATGGCTCCCCAATCGGCACTCCATGGCTCCCTAATTGGTACTCCATGGCTCCCCAATCGGTACTCCATGGCTCCCCAATCGGTACTCCATGGCTCCCCAATCTGTTCTCCATGTCTCCCCAATTGGTACTCCATGGTCCCCAATCGGTACTCCATGGTCACCAATCGGTACTCCATGGTCACCAATCGGTACTCCATGGTCACCAATCGGTACTCTATGGCTCCCCAATCGGTACTCTATGGCTCCCCAATCGGTACTCCATGGCTCCCCTAATCAGTACTCCATGGTCCCCAATCGGTTCTCCATGGCTCCCCAATTGGTACTCCATGGCTCCCCAACTGGTACTCCATGGCTCCCAAATCGATTCTCCATGGCTCCCCAATCAGTACTCCATGATCCCCATTCGGTACTCTATGGCTCCCCAATTGGTACTCCATGGCTCCCCAAATCGGTACTCCATGGCTCCCCAATCGGTACTCCATGGCTCCCCAATCAGTATTCCATGGTCCCCAATCGGTTCTCCATGGCTCCCCAATTGGTACTCCATGGCTCCCCAACTGGTACTCCATGGCTCCCAAATCGATTCTCCATGGCTCCCCCAATCGATTCTCCATGGCTCCCCAACTGGTTCTCCATGGCTCCCCAATCGGTACTCCATGGCTCCCAAATCGTTACTCCATGGCTTCCCAATTGGTACTCCATGGCTTCCAAATCGGTACTCCATGGTTCCCCAACCCCCAGCTATGGAAGTCCTCACCTTGAAGTAGGTGTAGTGCAGGTACTGGTAGGGGTCTCTCCTCTGGAAGGCTTTGAGGGTCTCCTGGTCTGGGTATGGTTGCTGGAAGACTGGAAGGGTAGCCTTGCACTTCCTGAGGCACACAGCCTTGGACAGGACCCTCCCGAAGAGCCTGAGCTCCATCCTCCAGTCCTGCTTGGCCTCCAGCCCCCCGTCCTCCTCGTCCTCCAGCCCAGGGATGGAGGTCTCCTTGGAGCAGCTGTGTCCGCAGAACTCCTCGCTGTCCTGGAGAAGTCGGTTCAGCCTCAGGCTGGCCTCCAGGGACTTGGTTGCCTCCTTCCAGGACTGAGCCTCGTAGAGCTGCATGGCTTGGCCATAGGTGGTCTGCAGCGGTCGGAGCTCGGACCGGGGGAAGCCTCGGAAGCTGTACTGTTCATACTGAGCCCGGGACAGGACCAGGGAGCCCCATAGGAGGAGCAGGAGGAGCGCGGAGGAAGCCATCAGAGAACTTCTCCTACTGCTAGGAAGATCGCTGGAGGACTCGGACTAATGAGAGGAGCAGGAGAGAAGGGAGGGCTGGGGGCTCTACTCACTGCCAGCCTGGCTGGGACAACAAGGACTTCTTCCAGGGACACCTCTGGGCTGAGGACACATCAGGAACTCCTCCAGGGTCACATCAACCTGGGCAAGTGACCATCAGATCCAGCTTCGTCCACCTGCATGGTCTTCAGGAGCTCATCTTCTACCCAAAAAGAAGGGTGACCCCCTACCTGGGTGCTGTCTGAGCTGTATGTGGACTTGTGCCCACCCTCTACAGAAATCTCTGCTGGATCTCGCTGGGTCCTAAAATCTGCATACTTCACAATCACAGTATAGACGTTCAGTCTGTGTCATGGCTTCTCAGCTCTGTAGTTTTTATCTTCTGCCCAGAAATGGGTGACCCCTACCTGGGTGCTGTCTGAGCTGTATGTGGACTTGTACCCACCCTTCTCCAGAAAACCCTGCTGGACCTCACTGGGTCCTAAAATCTCCAAACTTCATAATCACAGTATAGAAGTTTAGACTGTGTCATGGCTTCTCAGCTTTTTCTTTATCTTCTGCCCAGAAACAGGGTGACCCCTACCTGGGTGCTGTCTGAGCTGTGTGTGGACTTGTGCCCACCCTTCTCCAGAAAACCCTGCTGGACCTCACTGGGTCCTAAAATCTCCAAACTTCACAATCACAGTATAGAAGTTTAGACTGTGTCATGGGTTCTCAGCTTTTTAGTCTCTATCTTCTGCCCAGAAATGGGGTGACCCCTACCTGGGTGCTGTCTGAGCTGTGTGTGGACGTGTGCCCACCCTTCTCCAGAAAACCCTGCTGAACCTCACTGGGTCCTAAAATCCCCAAACGTCACAATCACAGCATAGACTAGGTTTAGTCTGTCATGAGCGCTCCACTTTTTAGATATTACCTTCTGCCCAGAAATGGGGTGACCCCTACCTGGATGCTGTCTGAGCAGTATGTGGACTTGTGGCCACCCTGTCAGCAAAACACCCCGCTAGATCTCACTGGTTCCAAAATCCCCAAATTTCACAATCACGGCATAGAGGTTTACTTGATGGTGTCCTGTAGCTGGGTGTATATGGACACGTGCCCACCCTATCCAGAAAACCCTGCTAGATCCCATTGGGTCCTAAAATCCCAAAATCTCACAATCACGGCACAGCGGTTTGGTCTTCGTCAGTGGTTGTCAAGGTTCAAGACTGCCCAGATCACAGCACAGAGGTTTTCTCAATGTCATGGGTGCTCAACTTTTTAGACTTTACCTTCTGCTTATAAATGGGGTGACCAGTACCAGGGTGCTCTTTGAGCTGTATGTGGACTTGTGCCCACCCTCTCCAGAAATCCCTTCTACATTTCAATGGGTTCTAAAATCCCAAAAAAGTCACAATTTCTGGTGATCAACTTTCATGACTTCATCTTCTGCTCAGAAATGGGGTGACCAGTACCTGGGTGCTGTCGGAGCTGTGTGTAGACTTGTGCCCACCCTCTCCAGAAATCCCTTCTAGATTTCAATGGGTCCTAAAATCCCCAACAATGTCAGTTTCTGGTGATCAACTTTCATGACTTCATCTTCTGCCCAAAAATGGGGTGACCAGTACCTGGGTGCTGTTGGAGCTGTGTGTGGACTTGTGCTCACCCCTCTCCCGCAATCCCTTCTAGATTTCAATGGGTCCTAAAATCCCCAAAAACATCAGTTTCTGGTGATCAACTTTCATGACTTCATCTTCTGCTCAGAAATGGGGTGACCAGTACCTGGGTGCTGTCGGAGCTGTATATGGACTTGTGCCCACCCTCTCCAAAAACCCATTCTAGATTTCAATGGGTCCTAAAATCCCCAACAATGTCAGTTTCTGGTGATCAACTTTCATGACTTTATCTTCTGCCCAAAAATGGGGTGACCAGTACCTGGGTGCTGTCGTAGCTGTATGTGCCTACCCTTCTTCAGAAAACACTGCTGGACCTCACCGGGTCCTAAAATCTCACATTTCACAATCACAGTTTGGAGATTTATTCTATGTTACTGTCTCTCAACTTTTTGGACTGCATCTTCTGCCCAGAAATGGGATGACCAGAACCAGGGTGCTGGGTGAGTTGTATGAGGACTTGTGCCCACCCTCTCCAGAAATCCCTGCTTGAACTCACTGGGTCCTAAAATCCCAAACTTCACAATTACAGCATAAAGGTTTATTTTATGTCATGGGTGCTCAACTTTTTAGACTTCATCTTCTGCCCAGAAATGGAGTGAGCAGTGCCTGGGTGGTGCCTGAGCTGTATGTGGGCTTGTGCCCATGCTCTCCTGAATACCCTGCTAGACTTCACTGGGTCCTAAAATCCTGAAACGTCACAATTTCCGGTGCTCAACTTTCATGACTTCATCTTCTGCTCAGAAATAGGATGACCAGTAGGGGTTTGGACTACGTCAGTGGTGCTCAAGTTTTTAGACTTTATCTTCTGCCCAGAAGTGGGGTGACCTCTACCTGGGTGTTATATGAGCTGTATGTGGACTTGCACCCACCCTCTCCAGAAATTCTTGCTAAATCTCATTGGGTTCTAAAATTCACAAACTTCACAATCACAGCCCAGAATTTTACTCAATTGCATTGGTGTTCAACTTTTTAGACTTTATCTTCTGCCTATAAATGGGGTGACCAGTACCTCAGTGCTATACAAGACTTGCAGCCACCCTTCTGCAGAAACCCTACTAGATCTCACCGGGTCCTAAAATCCCCAAACTTCACAATCACAGTATAGACTGAGGTTTGGTCTGTTACTGGTGGACATTTTGTTCTTAATACGTGTACGGTGGTCAACTTTCGGGACTTCTTCTGCCCAGAAATGGGGAGACCAGTAGCTGCATGCGCATTATAGGGACTTGTGCTCACCCTTCTCCAGAAATCCCTAGTAGATCTCACTGGGTCCTAAAATCCCAAACCTTCACAATCATAACATAGAGGTTTATTCTATGTCATGGGTGATCAACTTTTTAGACTTTATCTTCTGCCTATAAATGGGGTGACCAGTACCTCAGTGCTATACAAGACTTGCAGCCACCCTTCTGCAGAAACCCTACTAGATCTCACCGGGTCCTAAAATCCCCAAACTTCACAATCACAGTATAGACTGAGGTTTGGTCTGTTACTGGTGGTCATTTTGTTCTTATTATGTGTACGGTGGTCAACTTTCGGGACTTCTTCTGCCCAGAAATGGGGAGATCTGTAGATGAGTGCACAGTATAGGGACTTGTGTCCACCCTTCTCCAGAAATCCCTATTAGATCTCACTGGGTCCTAAAATCCCAAACCTTCACAATCATAACATAGAGGTTTATTCTATGTCATGGGTGATCAACTTTTTAGACTTTATCTTCTGTCTGTAAATGGAGTGACCAGTACCTGGGTTCTGTCTGAGCTGTAGGTAGACTTTGTGCCCACCCTCTCTAGAAATCCCTGCTAAATTTCACTGGGTCCTAAAATTCCAAAATCTCACAATCAGAGCACAGATTTTTATTCTATATTAATAGTTCTAATTTGTAGGACTTCGTCGTCAGCCCAGCAGTGGGGGTGAGCGGTACCTGGGTGCTGGGTGATCTGCATGTTGACTTGAGCCCACCTTCTCCAGAAATCCCTGCTAGACTTCACAGGGCCCCAAATTTCAAGACATCATCTTCTGCCCATAAATTAGGTGACCAGTACCTGGGTGCTGTCAGAGCAGTATGTGGACTTATGACCACCCTTCTCCAGGAGACCCTGCTATATCTCATGGAGTCCTAAAATCTCTAAACTTCATAATCACAGTATAGAGAGTTAGTCTGTGTCAGTGGTGGTCACGACTTCTTCTTCTACCCAAAATGTGGTGTCCCGTAGCTGGGAGTGTATTGACATGTGCCCACCCTTTCCAGAAAACTCTTCTAGATCCCATTGGGTCCTACAATCCCCAAATCTCACAATCACAGCACAGCAGTTTGCTCTTGGTCAGTGGTGGTCAAGTTTCAAGACTTCACCTTCTATCCAGAAATGAGGTGACCCCTGTGTTGCCTGCTCTATGAGCAGAATGTGGACTTCTGCCAACCCTTTCCAGAAAACCCTAGTTCCTAAAATCTCAGCATAGAAGTTTAGTCTGTGTTGGTGGTGGTCAACTTTTAGGACCTCATCTTCTGCCCAGAAATGGGGAAACCCATACCTGGGTGCTAGATGAGCAGTATGTAGACTTGTATCCACCATGCCAACAAAAAAACCTGCTAATTCTCAATGGGTTCTAAAATCCCCAAACTTTACAATCACAGCATAGAGGTTTATACTTTGTCAGTGGTGGTCAACTTTCAGGACCTCATCTTCTGCCCAGAAATAGGGCGTCCCCTACCTGGGAGCTGCTGAGCAGTCTGTGGACTTGTGCCCACCCTGTCAGCAAAACACCCTGCTAGATCTCACTGGGTTCTAAAATCCCCAAACTTCACAATCATGGCATAGAGGTTTACTATATGGTCAACTTTTAAGACCTCATGTTCTGCCCAACAGTGGGGTGACCTGTAGCTGGGTGAGTAGAATGTAGACTTCTGCCCATGCTTTCCAGAAAACCCTAGTTCCTAAAATCGCAGAACTTCACAATCACAGCATAGAGGTTTAGTCTATGTTGGTGGTGGTCAACTTTTAGGACCTCGTCTTCTGCCCAGAAATGGGGAAGCCCGTTCGTGGCTGCTGGATGAGCAGTATGTGGACTTGTATCCACCATACCAACAAAAAACCTGCTAAATCTCACTGGGTTCTAAAATCCCAAAACGTCACAGTCACAGCATAGAGGTTTGTACTTTTCCAGTGGTGGTCAACTTTCAGCTCATCTTCTGCCCACAAATGGGGTGACCACTACCTGGGTGCTGTCTGAGCAGTCTGGGGACCTGTCAGCAAAGCACACCGCTAGATCTCACTGCGTTCTGAAATCCCAAAACTTCACAGTCACAGCATAGAGGTTTGTGCTTTTCCAGTGGTGGTCAACTTTCAGGAGCTCATCTTCTGCCCACAAATGGGGTGACCCCTACCTGGGTGCTGTCTGAGCAGTCTGGGGACCTGTCAGCAAAGCACACCGCTAGATCTCACTGCGTTCTGAAATCCCCAAACTTCACAATCACAGCATAGAGGTTTACTAGGTGGTCAGTTTTCAGGACTTCATGTTCTGCCCAACAGTGGGGTGACCTGTAGCTGGGTGAGCAGAATGTGGACTTCTGCCCAACCTTTCCAGAAGTCTCTGATAGGTCTCACCAGGTCCTAAAACCCCAAACTTCAAATCACAGCATAGAGGAGAAAAAAAGGAGCATTCATCGGGGCTGTGAAGGAAAGAAATAAAGCATTATTCTATACAGAATGTATCGTGAGGGCATGGCTGGTGAATACTTGGTAGGAGAAGTCATGATTGGGCCCCCTAGGGTCCCAGAACCATCTGCCCTCTCTTCACTCCGTCGTGTCTCGGTAGACTAGTGGAAGAAGTCATGTCTGCTCTGGCTTCCTCCCATGTAGATGTTACTTCAGGCTCCTAGCAGTGGGCAGAAGATCTGTGTCAATAGACTCAATCCTGAATGTTTACCGTCATGATTGGCCCAGACCACCCGTAAGATGGACTTATCCAGATGGCGTGGCCGAGGATCAATCCATGTCCTGGGGCCAATTTCACATCCTGGTGACTATATATACAGGGATTGTAACGTACTAGAAGATATAGAGTCATCCATACCAGGGGCGGACTGACCATTCAGCACTCGGGCACTACCCGAGGGCCCGTGCTCAATAGGGGGGCCCCATGAGATACCCCTGGTACCTTTTATTGGCTTTTTCATAGGCTTTTTTGGGTATGGGCAAGGACACAGGGGCCCCATGATCCCCTATTGCCCGGGGGCCCCATGAGTAGTCAGTCTGCCCCTGATCCATACACAATACAATCTGACCATACAATCAACTTGAGATCCACCAAAACCATGTAATATGAGCAGGGGCGGACTGACCATTTGGAAACTCGGGCACTGCCCGAGGGCCTGGGGTCAGTAGGGGGCCCCATGAGATGCCCCTCGTACCTTTTTCATAGGCTTTTTTGAGTTTGGGCAAGGACACAGGGGCCCCATGATCCCCTATTGCCCGAGGGCCCCATGAGTTGTCAGTTGAATATGAGGACCTACCTTCAGGAGATTGAGTAACAAACGGTAATGAGGAGACCACCCAACATGCAACGGGTATAGTTCTGGAGAATTACGAGCAATTGCTTGCCTACCTAAGGCTAGGCTTAGACATGGGTGGACTGACAACTCATGGGGCCCCTGGGCAATAGCGGATCATGGGGCCCCTGTGTCCTTACACAAACTCAAAAAAGCCTATGAAAAAGGTACCAGGAACATCTCATGGGGCCCCCTACTGACCCCGGGCCCTCGGGCAATGCCTGAGTTTCCAAATGGTCAGTCCACCCCTGGACATGCTGTTAAGTTGTTGAGCCTCTGAAAAGCGATCTGCATTTGGATTGCTTTTCAGAGGTGTTTGACAGGCGATGAGGAGGTGATATGACGCCTCCTCACCGCCTGTTTTAACCCTGTAAATGCTGCACCTGCATTGCACACTGTTGTGGAGGATTGGCTACATGTCCCCATTCACCTGTATGAGCCATGTTGGGTAGCAGTCCTGCCCACCAAACGCAAAGCATAGTGACAGCGGCATGTGAACACCCCCATCTGCTACCTTTGCAGCTTAAGGGGGTGGTAAAAATGTGACTCAACCATGTGTTTTGATTGCCCCCCCACCTGCAAGTCTTAGGCCTGGTTCACACCTACGCAGTTGGCTTTTGATCCGTTTCTGCTATGCTTTTTGTATCTCTGCATGCGTGTTTTTCACGCGGTTTTATGCTTTTTTTTGTTGTTGGGCAGGTTTAAAAACGCAAACGCATCAAAAACGTCAAGAACGCATCAAGAACGCACTACATATGTTTTCTGCAGTGTCTCCATTGAGGTCCGTTGAGTTAAAAACGCACCGTTCTGCGTTTAAAATAGTCCCTGACCTTAGGAGACGCGCGGGGGCCATTCATTCTGAATAGCAGCACCCCCGCATGTCTCAGCCCTCAGGATGTTTGCTGACGCTGGATCCGCAGGCTAATCGCATGGTCAAAAGGGCGGTGCGATTTCCCTGGCGGCAGTGTTTTATAAAGGTGCATGCGCCTTGTTTCTCCGGGAAGCACAGACACAGCAGCCCATTCAAATGAACTCGCTGCCACGCCTGAACAAACGCAGTCCGCATGTCCTGCACGAGCCTAAGCCTTGGTCACACCTATGCGTTTTTTGGGGGGTTTTTTGCATCTTGCAGAAACGCACTACAGTCCATTTAACATGGTTTCCTATGGATCTAGTTCACATCTGTGCGTTTTTTGGAAAGGGTCAGGGACTTTTTTCCCACAGCAGATTGCATTTTGCATGTATTAGACTTTAATGGACCTAAAAACGCAAGTGTTGATATTTGATGTGTTTTTTTTTTAATGTGTTTTGTGGGGTTTTTTGGCTAATAGGAAAGTATGACAGTTCTGTTTGTGTCGTGCGACTTTGATGCGACTTGAAACTCTCTGGCAATCAAGTAGCATTCAAGTCACATCAAAGTAGTGCAGGAACCTTTGGAAGTCCAAAGTCGCATTTTTTGGCTAATAGGAAAGTATGACAGTTCTGTTTGTGCAGTGCGACTTTGATGTGAACCGCAGGCTAATCGCATGGTAAAAGGGCCACTCTCTGAATTCAAGTAGCTTCAAAGTCGCATCAAAGTAGTGCAGGAACCTTTATGTGTCCAAATTCTAATAGGAAAGTATAACAGTTCTGTTCATGTCAAAGTCGCATCAAGGTAGTGCAGGAACCTTTATGTGTCCAAAGTCGCATTTTTTTTGGCTAATAGGAAAGTATGACAGTTCTTTTCATGCAGTGCAACTTTGATGCGACTTGACACTCTCTGGCACTCAGGTAGCATTCAAGTCACATCAAAGTAGTGTAGGAACCTTTATGTGTCCAAAGTCGCAATTTGTTTGGCTCTTAGGAAAGTATGACAGTTCTGTTCATGTAGTGCGACTTTGATGCAATTTTACATTCTCTGGCATTCAAGTAGCATCAAAGTCGCATCAAAGTAGTGCAGGAACCTTTATGAGTCCAAAGTCGCATCAAAGTAGTGCAGGAACCTTTATGAGTCCAAAGTCGCATCAAGGTAGTGCAGGAACCTTTATGAGTCCAAAGTCGCATCAAAGTAGTGCAGGAACCTTTATGAGTCCAAAGTCGCATCAAAGTAGTGCAGGAACCTTTATGAGTCCAAAGTCGCATCAAGGTAGTGCAGGAACCTTTATGAGTCCAAAGTCGCATTATTTTGGCTAATAGGAAAGTATGACAGTTCTGTTCATGTTGTGGCACTTTGATGCGATTTTACATTCTGGCACTCAAGTATCATCAAAGTCGCATCAAAGTATGCAGGAACCTTTATGTATCCAAAGTCTCAATTTTTTTGACTTATAGAAGACAGATCTGTTTGTGCAGTGCGACTTTGATGTGAACCGCAGGCTAATCACTTGGTCAAAAGGGCCACTCTCTGCACTCAAGTAGCTTCAAAGTCGCATCAAAGTAGTACAGGAACCTTTATGTGTCCAAAACTGCATTTTTTTTGACTAATAGGAAAGCATGACAGTTCTGTTCAGGTAGACTTTGATGCAACTTTACATTCTGGCACTCAAGAAGAATCAAAGTCGCACTACATGAACAGAACTGTCATACTTTCCTATTAGCCAAAAAAAAAAAAGACTTTTGACACATAAAGGTTCCTTTGATGCGATTTTGATGCTACTTGAGTGCCAGAGAGTATTATATATACGATATGTACATGATTACATATATATATATCAGGGGCGAACTGACAACTCATGGGGCCCCCGGGCAATAGGAGATCATGGGGCCCCTGTGTCCTTGCCCAAACTCAAAAAAGCCTATGAAAAAGGTACCAGGGACATCTAATGGGGCCCTCTACTGACCCCGGGCCCTCGGGCAGTGCCCGAGTTTCCAAATGGTCAGTCCACCCCTGATATATATATATATATATAAAAATATAAAATCCCTGGTGATCCTGCCATGAAGGTCCCTGTTCAGGCACTTCCTGATATAGAGTGACAACGCTCTGTCCCTGTCTCCGAAGTTGCTTGTATGTTGTCACCCTGGACTTCAGATGGAGACAAGTAGCCATTTCAACACGCATTACACAGGCATAATCCGCAGTTGTCACCATCAGCAAACCCACCCTGAGAGACGCTATACGTTGCTGGGGGCATGTATATAGGAAGTGGCTGCAAAGAGGCTGCAGGAGATCAGCAGCACTGGGATGTAACAAAGGTTAAAAAAGAGGGCTAAAACTGTTGTTTATTTATTAAAAATGGCAGTTGCCTATAGCAGACAGCATTCTATGATAATTTAATTGGGTTTTCTATGTACTTTAGTATTTACAATGTATGTGTTTTTAATATATATATATATATATTTTCTTTTTTCTCTTTTTTTGTTGTTAATTTTTTTTTTTAATAAATAATAAAATTCATGACAATGAATTCTATATGTACTTTAGTATTTACAATGCATGTGTTTTATATATATATATATATATATATATATATATATTTATTTATTTATTTTTTTCTCCTTTTTTTTATTTTTTGTTGTTTATTTTGTTTTTTTTAAATAAAAAATAATAAAATTCATGACAATGATAATGTCATTGGGTGTTATATGTACTTTAGTATTTACAATGTATGTGATATATATATATACACACACATACGTACACACACACACATATATATATATATATATATATATATATATATATATAGATAAATAGATATATATATATATATAGATATATGTATATTTTTTTTTATTTATTTTTGTTGTTGTTTATTTTTTTTTTAAATAAATAATAAAATTCATGGCAATGATAATGTCATTGGGTTCTATATGTACTTTAGTATTTACAATGTATGTGTTATAGTATTTACAATGTATGTGATATATATATACACACACATACGTACACACACACATATATATATATATATATATATATATATATATATATATATATATAGATAAATAGATATATATATATATAGATATATGTATATTTTTTTTTATTTATTTTTTGTTGTTTATTTTTTTTTTTTAAATAAATAATAAAATTCATGACAATGATAATGTCATTGGGTTCTATATGTACTTTACTATTTACAATGTATGTGTTATATATATATATATATATATTTATTTTTTTTTTTTTTTAAATAAATAATAATAACATTTGTGAGAATTGTATTAGTTCCTGTATTTGAATTCCCCTTTCTCTGCATGTGTCCACATTTTATTAATTTGCAGTCAAGCTACACTAGGACCCTGAGCGCGTCTCGTCCCATACTCCAACAAGTCCCACCTTCTCCTCCCCTCATACTTTCTTCATTCCTCTAAATCTAATCTTTCTTTTTCCTGCGCACATTATCACCAGAAAACACAAAACGCTTCATCCAAGGTCTGGTGGCCGAGGCTGTAGATGTTAACAGTGCTTTTCTGTGTCTCCCACTTTTAGGAAAACTCCCAGGCCCCTCCCCCGCCCGCCTGAAGCCCCGCTTTCCACGTTAACAAAAATTCCTTTCTAACCAGAGGCTTGGCAGTCAATGAAGGAAGAGGGGAAGGGAAGTAGAACATCTCACTGAGGACTGCAGCCTTCCCTCTTCTTCAGCCATGATCTCCAGCAGCCTTGTAGTCTGGATCCAGGTCCTGATTTTGTGCGTCTCTTGCGATTCCGGACCTCTGGAAGATGTTGTCATCGACCGCTATGATGTCCCCAAGATCTGTCCCAGAGAAGTGCAGATGGGTGACTTTGTCCGCTACCATTACAATGGCACCCTGAAAGACGGACTGAAGTTTGATGCCAGGTAAGGTGCTCTTTGTATTACATGGATGACCACCTTTGGGACATGTTCTCATCATTCATGTTGGGTTGCCCAGCGTAGTCCCAATGCAAACGCTCACATTTTCATTGTTATCAGTTTGTACCACTACGTTGCTGTGGTGTGCGCTGAAACCAGTACTGCGTGATGCTCTTTGTTTCAGCACATCAGATCATGGCGCAAACCACCGCATCCCAGCACCGGTCTGGTGAATAGAACCCCTGAGACATTTCTAGAAAGTTCTAACTAGAAAAAAAGTGCGATACAACGGGATCTGTGGTCCTCCAAGCGCACAGGCGATCTGCTCATTTAAAATTCGTTCAACTTCTCATTTTGGTCATCTAGAACCTTTCCTAGTGTGGTTTGCAGTATGAAGCCACCATCATACATGACGGTACGGTGTCCATATTGCCGAGTACGTTCGGTTGTAGGTGCTCCAGGAGACCAGAAGTTGGCTTAGCTTAGAAGTTCCCAACCTGAGGATACAAAATGGCAGAGAAGGCAGTGGTGTGGCCCCCCTGTTTGCAAACCTAGTTGGGGATCAGTTGTCAGGTAACTAGGACATGGCTTTCTAGGAGATGACAGGGAATGGGTGGTTCTACGTGATTTTTGTCCAATGGGCGCTTGAGAGCGGGACACGTGTGCACAAGTGCCATTACCCAAGGCTCACCTGGGAGTCCTTGCCCCAACGCCACTACACCAGACAGCCTGACCTACTTCTGCTCAGGGTCTCGCTGGCTGCCAGTCTACTACTTGCTCTACCTGCATACTCCATGACCCAGACGCCTATTGTGGAGGGATGCTTAGTCCCCAACCCTAAATCCAGAGTCGCAGGCCTTGAGATTGGACACACCACTAAGGTTGCCATCTCATCCCTTTAAAACCTAAACACATGTTGATTACACAGGTTCCGTGGCTGATTAAGGTGGTAATTAAACTCACTTGGTTCCTTATCTACATGAAATGTCCCTCAGAACCTGTGTAATTAATATGTTCAGTTTTAAAGGGATGAGGTGGCAACCCTACACACCACTGAAACATGGTACACCCCAAAAAGCACTTTCATCTGCCTGGTAGTCCTGTCTGCAACACCAACACTCCATACTTAGCCTGACTCTCCAAGTCTCACTGGCTGCCAGTCTACTACTTTCTCAACCTGCATCCTCCATAACCCAAACACCCATCATTGATGCATGCCTAGCCCACAGCAACCCTGAAACCCTTGAGCAGCCCCAGATCCAGGGTCAAAGGCTGCGCACTACTACTTGCTGCATCTACATCTCCCATGGCCCATGAAAGGATGCCTAGCTCTCCAGTCCACAGCATCCTCAAATCCCAGAGGAACTCCAGATCCAGGGTCACAGGTCATGCTCTAAACATTGGACATACCACTGCAACATGGTACACCCCAAAAAGTACTTTCAGCTGCCTGAGATTCCTGGCCCTAACACCACCACACCAGACTTGGTCCAACACACCTCTTCTGAAGGTTTGACTTGCTGCCAGTCTACTACTTGCTGCATCTACATCCTCTATGGCCCAAATGCCCATCAATGAAGGATGCCTTGCCCTCCAACCCACAACATTCTTAATACCCTAGAGGAGCCTCAGGGTCACAGGTCATGCTCCAAGATAATATTAGACACACCACTGGAACATGGTACAACCCAAAAAGCACATTCAGCTACCTGGGAGTCCTGGGCCCAAAGCCACCACGCCAGACGTAGCCCAACCCACCTCTGCTGAAGGTCTTATTGGCTATCGGTTTACTACTTCATCTACATCCTCTATGGCCCAGACACCCATTATGGAAGGATCCCTAATTCTCCAACCCACAGCATCCTCAAAACCTGAGAGGAATCCCAGATCTACGGTCACAGGACACGCTCCAAACAGGCCCTGAGATAATATTGTTACACCACAGCAATGTGGTACGCCCGAAAGAGCACTTTCAGCTAACTGGGAGTCCTGGCCCCAATGCTGCCACACACCAGACTTGGCCTGACCCACCTCTACTGAAGGTCTCACTGGCCACCAGTCTACTACTTGCTGCATCTAAATCCTCCATGGCCCAGACACACATCATGGAAGGATGCCTAGCTCTCCAACCCATAGCATTCCCAAAACCCTAAGGTGACCATACATTATACAATCTGATTGTACAATCTTCTTTAGATCTGCCATCAATTATGTAGAGCCTGCCTGACTAGATAAAAAAAATACACAAAAGGTTGATTAAGTCGGCTCGTGTATTATATAGATTTGGTAAAGCTTACTGAGATTGTCCAATGTATTGCCAATTTTTGATCTACCAAAACAATATAATAGGAAGACCTAGTCAATCTATCCAATCAATTGATATTGTTGGTATAGCTAAAGAAGATTGTACAATCAGATTGTAACCTGTGTGGTGAACTTTAAACAGAAAACTAGGCTTCTCCCTTTTAGGAGGAATACATCACAAGTCCGTGCCTAGCATATCCTCTTGGGACAGAGTTGTAATGAGAGGCCTGTGTTGGGTTTGTATAAACAATGACTTCTGCACCCGGTGATACAAGGGGCCGATGTGGAAAATGTGTGTCATACTTTTGCAGTCTAGGACCTTCCAGCTGTTGTACTACAATTCTCAGCATGCCATATAACCCTTCAGCTACCAATGGCCTACAAGTCTCAGACCTGCCAGCAGTTTGAGTGCTCCGAGAAAGTTATTTGGTCCTCCGCTGCATTTTGCCAAAACCTTATAGGCAGCATTCGTTAAAAAAGGCCATCCAATGGCCTGGATTGGCAGTGTAGCATTGGCCAAAAGTTCTAGGTCTGTGGGCTGATGGCCTAGGGCCTCTCTAAGGGTCAGGAGATGAGTAGATTGGCCAAAGTTATAGGAGGTCTGTGGGCTGATGGCCTATGGCCTCCCTAAGGGTCAGGAGTTAGGTAGATTGGCCAGAAGTTCTAGGAGGTCTGTGGGCTGGTGGTCTGTTCTATGGCCTCCGTAGAGGTCAGAAGGTAGGTCGATTGGCTGGAAGTTCTAGGAGGTCTGTGGGTTGGTGGTCTATGTACTATGGTCTCTATAAAGACCAGATTTAGGCCGATTGGCCAGACGTTCTAGGAGGTCTGTGGGCTGGTGGCCTATGTCCTAAGGTCTCCATAGTGATCAGAAGTTGGGTAGATTGGTAAGAGGTTCTAGGTGGTATAAGGACTGTTGGTCTATGGTCTCCATAGAGATCTGAAGTTGGGTAGATTGGCTAGACGTTCTAGGAGGTCTGTGGGTTGGTAGTCTATGTCCTATGGTCTCTATAAAGACTAGCAGTTGGGTAGATTGGCCAGAAGTTCTAGGAGGTCTGGGGGCTGGTGGCCTATGTCCTATGGTCTCCATACAGGTCAGAGGTTGGGTAGATTGGACAGAGGTTCTAGGTGGTATAAGGGCTGTTGGTCTATGGTCTCCATAGAGATCAGAAGTTGGGTAGATTGGCTAGACGTTCTAGGAGGTCTGTGGGTTGGTAGTCTATGTCCTATGGTCTCTATAAAGAGTAGCAGTTGGGTAGATTGACCAGAAGTTCTAGGAGGTCTGGGGGCTGGTGGCCTATGTCCTATGGTCTCCATACAGGTCAGAGGTTGGGTAGATTGGACAGAGGTTCTAGGTGGTATAAGGGCTGTTGGTCTATGGTCTCCATAGAGATCAGAAGTTGGGTAGATTGGCTAGACGTTCTAGGAGGTCTAGCCAATCTACCCAACTTCTGACCTGTATGGAGACCATAGGACATAGGCCACCAGACCTCCTAGAACCTGACCAACAGCCCTTATACCACCTAGAACCTCTGTCCAATCTACCCAACCTCTGACCTGTATGGAGACCATAGGACCTAGACCACCAGACCTCCTAGAACCTGGCCAATCTACCCAACTTCTGACCTTTATGAAGACCATAGGACATAGGCCACCAGTCCATACATCTCCTAGAACCTGGCCAATCTACCCAACTTCTGACCTTTATGGAGACCATAGGCCACCAGCCCATACATCTCCTAGAACCTGGCCAATCTATCCATCTTCTGACCTTTATGGAGACCATAGGCCACCAGCCCATACATCTCCTAGAACCTGGCCAATCTATCCATCTTCTGACCTTTATGGAGACCATAGGACATAGGCCACCAGCACATAGACCTCCTAGAACTTCTAGCCAATGTGCTGGTGGCCTATGTCCTATGGTCTCCATAAAGGTCAGAAGATAGATAGATTGGCCAGGTTCTAGGAGATGTATGGGCTGGCGGCCTATGGTCTCCATAAAGGTCAGAAGATGGATAGATTGGCCAGGTTCTAGGAGATGTATGGGCTGGTGGCCTATGGTCTCCATAAAGGTCAGAAGATGGATAGATTGGCCAGGTTCTAGGAGATGTATGGGCTGGTGGCCTATGGTCTCCATAAAGGTCAGAAGTTGGGTAGATTGGCCAGGTTTTAGGAGATGTATGGGCTGGTGGCCTATGGTCTTCATAAAGGTCAGAAGTTGGGTAGATTAGCTAGAAGTTCAAGGAGGTCTATGGGCTGGTGGTCCAGGTCTTATGGCCTCTATAGAATAATTTCCAAAGCTGGCCATACATGACTTTAATTTGATAGCCCCCACCTGACTCCACAAAAATCAATTTTTTTTCCAAGGAGCTAGATGAAAAACCATTGGTCAAACAGTCATTTCATCCACTCAGATGCAGCCACTGTTCGGGTATTCAGGCAACTATAAGACCCTGTTAGCTTTTTCTCCTTCAGCCTGCAGGCCAAACAAGAGAAATCTTTGTGTGTATGGCAAACTCTTCAAATATTTCATATTCTAAAGCTGGCTACACGTGTTATCTCCTAATTGTACATACTCCTTTAAGCTGCCCACACACTATACAATCTGATGGTACAAATTCCTTTAGATCTACCACGAGTGTGTAGTGTGATGAGGGTCTTCCTGATTGGGGATAAATTGTACGAGTTGTCTAAGTAGGTTC